AGGGGCGATGGGACGAGGGGCACCGGCCTCAAGTTGTGCCAGGGCAGGGCGAGGTTGGCCATGGGGAACAATTCCTTCCCCTTGGGGCTGTCAGGGGCTGGAAGGGGCTGCCCAGGGAAGGGGTCGAGTCCCCATCCCGGAGGATATTTAGAAGCTGGGCAGACGAGGTGCTGGTTTAGTGGTGGAGTGGCAGGGTTGGGTTAACGGTTGGACTCAATGATCTTAAGGATCTGCTCCCACCTGAGTGATTCTATGATGCTGTGTTAGCAAAGTCTGTGACTCCTGGCTGAGCGTTAGCACCCTTCAACGCTGGCGAGAGCTCAGCCCCGCGGTAGGGGTGGATGCTTTTCACCATTTTGCTGGGACCCATATAAGCAGTACCCCCCCCCAGCAGTGATCTCTGTGCATTGCTCCAGGCTTACCGCTATCTGGAAGAGATGCAGAAGAGAGTGCCACCCATGACCCTGACCTACTACGTGTCTCAGCAGACCATCGAGGCAGTTCACCAAGGAGCAGGTATTCCTGTAAGCCGCACCCTGGTTCCAGAGCAAACGTGCCACAGCAGTGTGGAGAACAAGGAGGTGGAAGAAGAAGTGGCTGACGAAGCGGAGGACCCCTGACAACTCAGACTTACCACACGCCAAGCGGACTTTAATGCTAGGTCGTTTATTCTGTCCTCAGCAGGGGTCACTTATGAGTCACCACACTGCTGTGGCAAGGCTTTTGGGGTATTACCAAGAAATTTATTTTTCCTGCTTGACTGTACAAGCAGCAGTATTGTAGGCATCTACAGTGTCACATGTAAGTCCTGTAACAAAGCTGGGGTTAGTAGTTTAATAAATTTGAGTGGGGAAAAGCCCAACAAGAACTGCACACTGTAATGTCAGGCCTTTTTCCAAGAACAGGAAAGAGCTGAGTAACGGAGGTGGAAACTTGTGAGGTGACAAAATTTTTAACTACAGCTTTGGCCTGCTAAGGTGCTCACTAACTTGTCTGTCATTCCCCAGGAGTCAGAGCTGCTGCAAACAACCCCTGCCCCATCGGGGTAGGAGCTTGGGTAAAATCAAACCGCTCCCCTACTGCGGAATGAAGGCAGATGTCCCCCAACTCAATGCTTTTGTGTTTAATGCAGCACAGAGTCGTGCAGGCCAGAGCTGACATTTACAACCGTCTGGCCTAAGCCCTGGAGGCACAGAATGGTTGGGGCTGGAAGGCACCTCTGGAGGGCGTCGGGTCCAAGCCCCCCTGCTCAGGCTGGGTCACTTGGAGCCAGTGAAGCTTCTTTTCCAGCCACCACGGTTATGTCAAGCTACTCTGTACTACTCAGATTTTAGGATGTAGATTTCTTCCCTGGCACAAGCAGGACCATGAGCAGAACCTCAACATAAGCAACCAAGGTTTTGCTCGCCTTTACGCCCTGCCCCACAAAGGGGTCACCCTCGTACATTCCACACCACCCAGCCCTTCTGCTCAGAGCGATTTTTTTCCTTTTTCCTGTACTGTGACGCTTCAAAACTTGGGGTGAATGTGAAGTTTTTTAATTGCATGCATTCAGGGAAGAAGGGTGGGAGGAGATTTGAAGGTCAAAGTCTGGACATTAGTTACCCTTCAGTAGAAACTTATTTCTGTACTGTGATCATACAGAAAGGATTCCTGCCTTGTTCCTTCCTAGCCAGAGCATGGCCCTAGCTCAGGCCTTTATGGTTTGCCGCGTTTTCAGACTGTCAGCGTAGCTGTTCAGTCCTTGTGCCTCGCTAGCGGTGTCATTCCTGACACCAGGCCACCCCTCAAACAGCAGACTAACGCCTATCGTGCCCGAGGCTGACTGCTAGAAGGCACGGGAGCCTTTGCTACGGGCATGTCATCGGCTTGGCCCTGGGAGGGATGTGGCCCTCTCCAGCTCTCCTGTTTTTCTGACAAGAAGTCTGCTATGAGATCGTCCCTGTATTTTTAGCAAAGCACTCAAACCTGCCAAGGTTATAAATAGCTGGGGGTGGGGGCTGGGGGTGTGGGGAGGATGGCAGCGCTAGCCTACCTTCCTGCATCTGTACACGCCGTACCGGATAGCAATAGCTCACTAAATTGGCCTCCACTACAAAGTCCAGATGTCAAGTCAGGTTCGCTGGCTTACAGCTCTGCACCCTTCCCCCTTCTTCCTCTTCTCCAGCCAGGTGACTGCTGAAGAGGCCCCAGCAGTGCCTACACGCGTCCAGCTGGCAAGAGTACGAGGTAGAGGTCATTTCTTTTACCCTTCAGTTAGGAAGGGACAGTTTTGAGTTTCTTTTTCAGGTTCTCCATTAGCAGCAAGGTCTGCAAGGCCAGCCTCCTGCAGTCCCCATCGGGATCTTTCTCCACCACATCTGTAAAAGAAGCAGCCACTGTTAGTTGGAAAGTGGGAAAAACTGCCCGTCATGTCCGACTGCTCTGCCGTTCCACTGACCAGCACAAACCACAGCAGCAAACGCGGCTCAGGCGGGGCTGGACATCAGCACTTGCAGGAACTGCATCAGATGGCAAAGCTGTGCAACCCTGATCGTCCTAGGCAGCGTGAGTTTAGCTGAGCCCTGCCTGCCACGAGTGATAACGCTCAGGCCATTTGTGTAGCAGAAACGCTACAGAGCCTCTCTGACCCTGCATCCCATGGGGTACCCTCCCTGCCAGAGTTTATCCTTGTGCCCTTGAGCTACACGTACCCGTTCCACAGCTGCTCTGCTAGCATGAATGCAGGCTGCAGTTAGAAATCCACTTACTCAAAAACCTAAAGTCTCCAGTCTGCCAAAATTCCTGTAATCGACACAAATCTGTGGTCACGCTGCCCCTCAAATGGGGGCTGAGGCAGGCCCCAGGTGTCAAGACACTCTCCAGGAGCTTAGTGTTCTGCCAAACTGGGGGTGCTGTCACACCGTGCAGCGCGTAAGGGAGGGCACGAAGCTGTGCCCAGCAGCTGTTATTGCAGGGGCCCTTCGTGGGCCTGCAAAGTAAAAGCCAGGATGCACGCAGGATGTCTGAGCAGGGGGGCCTGGCCGCGCAGCGCGTCTGTGTAAGGATATCCTGTACGCACAAGTGTGCTCAGAGCCCAGCGCTGTCAGCCCAAATACATGACTCACGCAGATGGAGCAGGGCTATTTATAACCTCAGGGAGAGCTTCACGATGGCGTTGCCATACTCCCGCTACAGAAGGCAAAAGGGGGCGGTTTCCAGACAGATCAGTACACGCTCAAAAGCGGAGAGGCTGATGTTGGCACTGACCATGGACTGTGACCTGCTGCCACTGAAAGGGAGGCATGGGGCACCAGAGCATCAGTCAGGGCCTTACATAAAACAGACTTACCTATGACTTAGCTCTACAGCACTGGCAAGGGGTGGGGAATTCCCTCAAAGACAGCTGCTGAGGACTCAAAGGAACTGTTTCCTAGAAATGTTTAGGTATTCCCTCCCTCCCCCGGGAAAGATCAGGCTACTCAGCAATAGGTCCAGCCTGGCATTAAGGGCAATGACAGACAGGTACACGGTGGATCCCAGCCTCTCTCCCCAGCTGAAGTGTCCCAAAGCGTGACAGTGACAGCATCTTACACCACACTGTGAGCACTTCCTGCCCAGGAACAGTCCCAGTTACGGCCCAAAGGCTGAAGGGCAGGAACAGTCATTCTACCACAGCCATCTGCACAACTGGAGCACGTTTGTGCTTCATGGGTAACATCTTGCAGCCTGCCATTCCTCATTGTGCTGTAGCCATAGCAGGAGAGATGTAGATGCTTTAAGCTGGAACACAAAGAGGTGACTTCTCCTGGCCACTAGGCACGGTGGTAGAAGGTTTGCATGCTACAGCAGATCTAATACATGACACCACGTGCAGATCCTGTCTGGAAGAGTCATGATGCAATGGCAAGTTGCGAGCTCACAACCATGCCTCAGTGACAAAAGGTCTCCAGTGACCTACTTCACCTGCTGGCGCAGCCAGGAGGAGCCCAGTGCCTCCCTGGGATCACCATTTTCCCAGCCCTCTTTCTTACCACACGTAGCAACGGCATAGCTCAAGAAGCTGTTGTGTTTCAGGAAGCAGCTCTAGAAGACCTTTTAAATGGCACTCGAGTCTCATCTGACCAGATGCGGAGATGAGTTGTGTTCTTTAAGAGTTCCGAACAGCTGCTACAACAATAATTTCCCCTTCTCTTCTCTACACACAACCGTGATCTTACCCTGCTGGCATTCCCACCCAGATCGACCATGCAATTTCCATGCAAAAGCACGACCTACACAGAGGTGGCTGTTACACTGCCTACAGGCATGAAAAGATGCTACTGGCTCTGTCGGCCTCATCCTCCCAAAACCAGTTCAATAAAAACAGATATTGTGCAGCCCCTCACGCTGAAAATATAAATACATTTATAATGTTCCTGGGAAGGCTTTACAGTTCAATAAAAACAGATTGTGCAGCCCCTCACGCTGAAAATAAATACATTTATAATGTTCCTGGGAAGGCTTTGCTTGGTCATAGCAGTGTTAACTGCAGAGCCAGGCAGAGGCCTCAGAGCACACCATGTCACAGGAAAAGTAAAGTTTTCGGCCCCATGAGGCAGCTTCACGAGGTGGGTGGTTGGATGCTTAGAGAAAGGGGGCGCATTTTGGAATTCTTTTGGTTGGCCTGTAAGGTGAGGGCAGTCACACTCTGAAACGCCATACACAGCTCTCGGCTTACGCTTTAGCTACCTCAGCAGTGTGTCTGTACAGCACACAGGGTGGGCTGCATTTGCCCTAGACCTACAAGCAAGCAGTAAATAGGCTTCTCATGCAAAGCTTTGGTGCACAACACTGGGACGTTACTGCTACCACCACAATTAAAGAGCTGCTGCACCACTAACCAGATGAACACCAGCGACACCACCACATCTTACCTCCCAGCCAGGACTGAGTCTCCAAAAGCTCGTCGGTCATGTCTTGCAGAAGACGCTCTGAAGGGACGCTGAGAAGCATGGAGGAGATACAGGACAAAAGGCCCTGGCGCACATACCTGTTGGAGAAAGACTGAACTGGTTAGAGCCTGCAGCTTTGTGCTCTACCTTGATTTCCTCACCGCAGGGGTTCTCCAGTTTCAAGTGTTTGTGATGATGAGGCCTTTTTCCATATTCCTACTGATTACGGGTGTAATTTTGCACCAGCCGGCAGAGTGCCCACATACAGAGTCCCTGCCATGCTGTGGTGCCGGGGGGTCTAGCATAATTGAGAGTCCCAGACAAGTCTGAGATCAAAGAGAAATTAGATGGTTGCAGTATTTTGGCTACAAGTCTCAATTTCTTTCCAGGGTTGAATGCTGGAATTGAATCTGAGTTTTCTGAGCTCCCTGAGTAAATGCAGATGAAACTGTCACGTGGATCGTTGATCACTAAATTTGTCGTGCTTGCTCTAGGTAATGACTGCACCCCCACACTAGAAGCACTAGCCAAGCTCACATTGGTCTGACATTAAAGCAATGCCTTTGTTACATATTCCTGCACTACTCGGGCATTAGAACACAAGGCTGGAGGAGAGCGTAGTTAATGCATTAAGTCATTGACAGCCTCGATCAGGTGCTAGGCTTGCCCAAAGACAAACCATGGCTGGAGACTGGCTTGCAACTGATCTTTAAAAATGAAAGCAAACAACTACAACTCACGAGTCAGTGTGGAAACGCAGAGCCCAGACGAACTCCAGCAGCGCCTTTCCCATTGCAGTAACTGCCTGCAAAAGAGGATGACAGGAATACTGAATACCGTCCCATTCATGCCACCCGATAGAACTGGCCCTCCAGACACCCTGTTGTGAAGATCAGGGGTTAACTTTGCTTTACAGATGAGGAAACTTAGGCAGTAATGTGAAACGATGTGCCCAACCTTCCACAGAAGTTGACAGTGTTTGTACCAGAAGCAAAAGGTAGCGCAGGGGTGTCTTGAAGCGCATGTCCCTTTTCTGGCCATTTTTCCCCATCCCTTTTCACTTCTCAGCACGTGCCACTCAAACGCGCTGCCAGGCTAAGTGCCGCAGGCCCCAGAGCACACTGCTGCTTGGGAAGGCGCCCCGAGCTCCTAGGCCAGAACACGCCCCTGCCCTCTGCAAGCTCAGGCAGCCTTTCTTACCACAGTGTTGACAGCCAAGTGCATCAGGATTGCTAAAGTGTGGACCAGTCTTCCAAGGACAAAGTGATCTTCCCCCAGGAGATCAAATGTTGTCAAAGGCCTGCAAGTGCAAGACACACGGTCCTGTAGCAGCGAGAGGGCTGATCAGTGCATCTTTGGAACAGTCAGGGTGGTTACGCAGGGCAAACTGTCCCCTACAACACCCATTACACGGTCATTCCCAATTTAACACAGGCCACAACTGTTTGCTCTCATCTCTGCTCTTACAGCAGATATCATTGTTCTACCGCAGGCTTTACTCAGAAAGACCTGCATGGAAAAGCTAGCACCACTGCCAGACCAGAAACGAGCGCTCAAGACTGGTATTACACGACTCTTGGTTCTCAGGGAATCAATTACTCAGCCGTCCTTAAGCAAGCAAAGACTTAAGTGATTGAGAAGCAACTGCGTCGTGTGTCCTGTAACGCAGGCACAAGGACCAGTCCAGGTGACGGGCCCAAACCTGAGCCAGAGTTAACTTTGATTAAAGACCGCAGTCTTGAGTGCCACGGTTTTGTGTGAACCTCCCAAGGTGGAGGTCAGCCAAGACAACCGCTTTGGTATGGCCAAAATCACCCACCTGTCTACCTGCTGACAGCTTCTTCATGAAGTATCTTCACTTCTGCAGGGCCTTACATACTCCCTCCCAACACGACTCCATAGGGTAAGTCCAAACCCCTCCTCCCTCAGCTTTAGGCATGAGCCAGGCATCAGTGTGGCATCACTGGAGCCCCACACAGCCTCTGGGCTTTAGCCCGCTGCTCTGAGGCACGCAGGACAAGCAGCAAGGTGCACTCTGGCAGCTGCCAGGCCCACAGCCAAGGCGTTCACACTCACCTGTCAAAGTGCTGAATCAACGGGAAAAAGAAGTGCCCAGCAACAGAATTGAACTCATTTGGGCCAGAAGCCATTTCCACTTGAGACTGACCCTGTCCAAGAGAAAAAGAAGTCAGGACACAAGATGCAGCATCCGACTCATCCACTTCATGGACACTGTCAAGACTACAGGTCCTCTGCAGCCATCCCATTGTCAGCCACTGCTTGCTTGCACGCCTGTGGCTTCTAGTTGCCAGACTGGATGGCTCGCTTCCCACTTCAGATCCTCTCACACATCTAAGTGTTTCATTGCAATGTACCTCAGCACTGCTGGGTTGTGTGTAAGAAACAAAAACATGCATGGGGTAAAGGAGTTTTGGAAAGCAAATTCCCGAGGATGAACCACAGGGGAATTCTGGGAACTAGGAAACTGGCATCAGTTTATCTCCCTGAAAAATAGGAAGGCTGAGATAGTCCAGTCCAGAGGCAGCTAGCCTGGGCTCCACGAGGTGCAGTCACAGCTCCCTGCAGCGGCCAGACAAGCTCAGAACAGCACCAACTATCCCTCGATGCAAGGCAAGAGTTCAAGGTTTATTTTCCTCTCCCTGCTGGGAGAGAACTACAGGAGCTGGTACTCTGCACCAAAAGGCTCAGCCAGATATTAAGATAAATTTATATTTGGAGTTACACATTCTTTCCTTTGGATTGGGCCCAATTTCACAGGTATTTTGCTCTTTCCGGACAGAACTACAGCAAATCCTAGTGTCCAAATAGGGTACATCTGACATTAGTTTGTTTCTGCCCTGGCCTCACCGTAGCAAATCTCCGAGTCTTGCTTTTGATCCTCTCATCAACAATTCTTCTCCAGTCCTTAGAGCTGTCACTCCCAGGAAGGAGCTGGATACGAGGGTTTGGGGCACCAGAATGCTTGGTCTTCCCATGGGATTTGGGATAGGACAGTTCCTGAGCTGCCAAAACCAATACCTAGATGAAAAAGAGGGAGGTTCTGTTGAAAAGGGCTAATCCCTGTGCTAGGTAACAACAACAGAGTTACCCGCACCCAAACCAATAGGACCAGCGAGGCAGAAAGGCACAACAGGTTTAGAATGAAGAACTGACCCCAACCAACCAGCTGGCACTGGGGGACTGACCAAGCGCTTGGTCGCTCAGCCCTGAAACAGAACAGTGGCTCCTTCTTCAGTCAGTGAAACGATGTAGGAGGAGTCACAGGCAGATTGCTGTCCTTCAGATGGTGAAAATACAACAGGCTGGTGACTGTTAGGAAGCAGTGGCTTCTCCTAGGCAAATGGCCATCACGTGTTTGCGTTCTGTGGGGAAGGATCGCTGTGTAATTGGAGTGTAGCAGGGTCACAAACGAGGGGAATGCCCGGCACAAAGGCTAACACAAGAGATTCCCACGCCTCTGCCTCCTCCTACGAGGAATGAGGGGTAAGCCCACTACATCTCAGGGAAATAGCACTGGGGCAACAAAGACACAAGGGAAGTGGGAACTGAAGAGAAGAGCACTCACATCAAGAATGTCCATGCGCTGACGAAGACTGTAGTTCAGAGAGTAGAACTGGGAGGTCAAGTACTTCGCTACCTGTACAGAAAAATCAAGACACAGTGAACACAAACCCAGGCTGGACACAGCCTTCCCACTAATTTCTAGAAGCACTCAATTTCAGGGGAAGTCCTGCTTCCTGTCAGTTAACAACAAGCCTCCAAGAGAAGGGAAGAGACACGCTGTGCAAACAGGGGCAATTCAGACACTTCCACTTCTAGATTCTCCCAAAGGAAGTGAATGACAAACGTGACTTTGCCATTCTTCGCTCCCTTCTGCACAGAGGTACCCAAACTGCCATGGCAGCTTTGGCACTTTGAAGGAGACCTTGCTGCGGCCTTTCAATACTTAAAGGGGGCTTATAAGAACAATGGAGAGAGACTTTTTACCAGGGCCTGTACTGATAGGACAAGGCATATAGGTTTTAAACTGACAGAGGACAGATCTAGATTGGACATAAGGAAGGAATTCTTTACTCTGGGTGGTGAGACACTGGAACAGGTTGCCCAGCGAAGTTGTGGATGGCCCATGATAGGAGGTGTTCAAGGTCAGGTTGGACAGGGCTTTGAGCAACCTCATCCAGGGCAAGATGTCGTTGCCCACGGCAGGGAGAGGTGGAAGTAGATGATCTTTAAAGGTCCCCAGTCAAGTCTTCTTCTAGAGAAGCCCTTCGTGCCTCAGTTTCCCTCTATGTGAAACAATCTTCCCTTCAATGCAACAAGTCCATATCTAATTTGCCTTGTCATACTCATGCTAACAGCCTCCAAACAGATCCTCCAGCCCGTTACAGCTCTGACAGTTTTCTCTTTCCTGCTGTTTCAGCCATCCATTGCAGATTCTTCAGTGCACAGGCCATCTCTGCGTAAATGCGGTCAGACATGAACTAGCTGTTCTGCCACACTGGGATAGCTGTTTCTATCAAGCTAGAAGAGGCTTCAGCTGCCTACATTTTTGCCTGTGCCTCAGCTGGAAAAAGGAAAGCAGAAAGAGAGACTCACCGGTATCGGATCTGTGGTTAGAACAGCTACTTGAGCTCTCTGACGGAGCTCCACAAAGCCTTCAATACAGGTCTTCTCCTCCAGATGCAGCAATATCTTTGCCAGCTCCACACTAACCTGCTCAAAATATGAAAAAAGGAATCAAATCCCTGTAGGTGTTTTCTTCCTTACAGGATTTACACACTGTTTCTAATGTTTAAGCAAAGGGTATGGAATATAAGCAAATTGTCCACTACGTAGCGGGGAGAGAAAATGCATTAAGCTAAATGCCATCAGGACAGATTTCTCAAAACACTGAGCAAACTCCAAAGCAACTATTTCTTTCTATGACCCTTCCCAAGCTGAAAAGTTTAACTTCAGGTACACGTTAGGCTGGCCTGCGGCTCCGTCAGCATGCTTTGTCTCCTCACGAGGGCAAAGGGATAATCCTGTATTACAGCCCACTGGTAACTTAGCTCATGCTACTTCACCTCTCTTGTGGCTGCTGGATTCTTTCGAACCAAGCTCTCAAGAGCCTTGATCGTAGCTTCCCATTTGTCCACGTCTTCAGATCCTGTCAGGACTGAAGGTAATCAACAGACAAAAAAAGCTATTAACAGAACGATTGCACTTGGGTATATACCCCCAACTTTCTTCTGCCAAGTTTGTCTCATTACAGGCAGATGCGCTGACCCAGCGCGTGACCGGCATTATGAACTGAATTGAAATTGCTCAGAAAGTACAGTTCAACACTTGAGCCCAGATTACTGAAATCCTACAGTTTCTTCAAATTAGCTCAGAAAAAAAGAAACCTACACAGAGGATCGCTCTCCCCAAACCAGTAAGAAACAGATAAAGACTCAGACCAAAATCTACCTTCAATACAGTCTCGGATATACACAGGAGCCTTAGTCTTTAGTTCTTTATCCTCTGACATGTCATAGGGGATGAGGTCATCATCACTGTAAAAGAAATAAAGGCAGGAGTTAGCCTATGAGATATAGACATTCTTCCAGCTATCCCCACAAAAAGGGAAGAACCGGCACATACGCTGTCGTAACACAGCACTCTGGCATCACCCAGCAGCGCTGCTGAAGCCTGGCCTGACGGGGGTCCTTAGCAAGTTCTGTGAATTACTCTGGAGCTCAGTGAGAGGGCAGTTCTGTGACCAGAGCTGGAACTGATCGCCCGGTCAAGTGCAGGAGGGAGTCAGGGGACCCAAAGACTAGAAGCTGATCCTTGAGATTTCTTTATGTATTGCTGAAGTGACAGAATAAAGCAGGCCCACTATTAAAATGGGAAGATATATCCATAATTCCAGGAAACACGTGTCTTAGTCAAATGGAATAAATACAATGGTTGTACACGAAGTGGGCTTTGCTGAAATTACTGACTAATATACTTGCATGCAATTTCCTACACGAAGTTCTACTCTGCTACATACCACTCAGCTGAACAAGGTCAGAAAGCACAAGATTTGCCAAGAAACCCAGCTACTGATAGCGCCCTTCTCCCCACGTCTGCTCTTAAGAACCTGTTGTTTGTTTTCCATTTCCTATCAGTTTCTGGCCCCATACCTGTCAAGCTCAGCATCCGACTCCTCATCTGGCGTCGCAGGGGCTGCTGTATGGGATTTCTTGTTACTCTCCAATACTGATGGCAACCACCAACCCTTGCTGCCTAAACAGAATGGCAGATAATTTCTGCTGCAGCCTCCCACCTAGCTTGGCCGACACAAGGAACTAAGTCCTGGGAAGGAGCACGGGGTGAGGGGAGAAGAGAACAGAAGAGCAATGGATAACAAAAATTAAGCTAGCTCATTTGCTGCGTTCCCCCTGCACTAGCTTGTACCTAGGACCGCTAAGGAAAGACTCATCTGTGGTAAGTGGATCACACTGGCCCGCACCATATTTGAAGCTGTGAATGAAGCTGAACAAATGGTGAAGAAACATCTTTCACCATTGCTAGTGGGATGAATACAACGATGAGGAAATTTTTTTCTGTCTCTCTACCTACTTCTGTGGACTCTGGCATTGTCCTTTCACCTCTCTGCTTCTCAAATGCTGTCTCAAACAGTGGTCTATGCTGATTATGCCCCTAAAACGGGAGCAATAAATTGTCTGTATTTCACTGGAGTGCTGGACAGCTTCATTGCTAATAAAATGAAGTGCTCTGTTCATCATCTGATAAAATTCAAGTGCTTCAAAAAGGCTCAGCAGATGCCTTGGCAGTTAAGAGCACCAAAGAACCACTCTTTAGACTGACAAGATATACTAGATTTTTGTCACGGGCAAACGGGCTGGGAGCACATGGCCCAAATGCCAGATTTCCCAGACGCAAAGAGAAAGGCCCATTTGATTCTACCCAGGGGCACATAAGACCCCTAGAAACTGCAGCATGGTTTCATCACATGCAGCTATCAAACAAGCAATTTCAATACATGCTACCATCTGAAGTATGAATTTAACATAACTCACTGCGCTGTAAGAATAAGGTGCGTTATCATGCTTAATACGTAAGATATCTTGAACAGCATATACAGTTCTGGCGCGTAACTCAAAAAGGTACGAAGAAGGGCAAAAAGATGGCATGGAGATGAACATTAGCAACATCTTACTCATCATCTAGACGGCCGGGGACAGCACAGAATGATGGAGTCTGCACCAGAAGGGACTTCAATTCTCTTGCTTCGTCATCTTCTTCGTACTAGACATTCAGAGTAACTGTTATTGCACTCTATTTGATTGCAAATATCCCCAGCATTCAACGTCTGACCCTTCTGCTGTCTGCATCACAAGCAGACAGACCCACACAACCCCCCCGTTTCAGTCGCTGTGCTGCGAGCAGTGATGTATTTATGCTGTACCTGTATCTGTATCTGTGCCACATGTAATCTCTGCCCCTACATTAACAGTAGTACCTGACCAGACCTTGCCTGAATGTTATTTACAATCTTTAGAACATTTAATAGATGGCAATACAACATGAGGGATGATGCAGGGTTTTAAATAATTAATGTGATTTAATCACATAATTCTTATAAACTCCACTGAAAATAGCAGAGCATATATCTTCATGTCAGCCTTGAAAATCTCAGCTCAGAACAGATCTCCCCACCTTGTCAGAGACTGAATGTTCACCACTGGTTTAGGTTTGAAGTTTCCTCTCAAATTCCATGGGTCAGATTCCGATTCCCTCATGCAATGCAATAATCCTCTAGCAGTCCTTTATTATCATCAGTTTACCCGAACTTTGTCACCTCATTACATTCTTACAGTCATTCTCAGCCACCTGGCTATTTTCTACACAATTGGTTTTTGTAAAGATACCTTCTCTTTTTGGAAATGTTGCTGCCTCTCCTTATTTCCAGATAAGCATCATAACTTGCTATAATGCCCTGGATCATCTGTTTTAAAGCTTTTATTTCCTCTAAGCCCTGCACACCAGACGTACATTTCATTAAAACCTTCACCTGAAACTTCAGGACAGGCCCATCAGTGTTTATTTTTGAACTGATGCTCTCTGCCACAATCATTCCCAGACGCCGTACTTGTGGCAGATTGCTGTCCAAGTGGCATTTCACGCCCTCCATCATGCTTGTGAGAAGCTCTGAAAAAAAGCAAACAATGCATGAAACAATGACAGAAACAAACATCCACCTTTATGCCAGTTCCCCGAGAGGGCATCTGTAGTCAGTCACCACCCAGTAATGGATGCCCATGCAACTGTGACTTCTTTCTGCAATGGCAGTATTGCCCTTCAACACCAATATAACAAACCCACGCTTTCTCATGGGGTATAAAGTCAACAAAACATTACAATGTATTCTAAATTTGGAATATTTTGGTTTTCACTGAAACAAAAAAGGATGGTAAGTCAAGTCAATATTTACCTCGCTTTTAGAGTGCTTCAAAGCCACTTAAGTGAAATGCCACGTTTTGAGGAAGCTACAAATTCTGACCAGTACAACCATCATGGAGGGAGAAATTTCCCTCACCACCTAGGCACGTTGGAACAGGCAGAAAACATCAGTACTTCTCAGCCCAGAGAACAACGGTTGCCTCCTGTCCCGGTTTCGGCTGGGACAGAGTCAGTTTTCTCCCTCGGAGCGGGCATGGTGCTGTGGTTTGGATTCAGGATGAGAAGAATGTTGGTGTAACACTGGTGGTTTAGTTGTTGCTTACACCAGGCAAGGACCTTTCAGCTCCCCCTGCTCTGCCAGGGGCACAGGGAGCTGGGAGGGGGCACGGCCAGGACAGCCGACCCCAGCTGAGCCCAGGGCTATCCCACACCGTATGATGTCATGCCCAGTATATACTGGGGGGAGTTGGCTGGGGGCCAGTGATTGCTGCTTGGGGACGGGCTGGGCATCAGTCAGCAGGTGACGAGCAACTGCACTGTGCATCACTTGGTTTGTATATCCTTTTATCATTATTGTTATTTTCTCTTCCTTTGCTGACCCATTAAACTGTCTTTATCACAACCCATGGGTTTTCCTTCCCCCCCTGCCCCTCGATTCTCTCCCCCATCCCACTGGGGGTGGGGAGGAGGGTGAGCAAGTGGCTGTGTGGTACTCAGTTGCTGACTGGGCTTAAGCCATGACACCAGCTTTACCAGGCAGGCTTACTGCTGTTGGACTCGACCTTCAACTCAGAAAAGCTCACCTTTGCAAACAGCTGTCAGATAAAAATCAGATTATAAAACCACAGTACTGTTGGTAAATAACAGGTCACTTATTCACCTGAAGCAGAATTAATTCTAGAATGAAACAGATGAACAGGTCTTGTAAGTCAACCTTCTCACCCCCCAAAAGCCACACACAGAGACACTGGACTGACATTTGTTTTATCGCAACAGGAACAGAAATTTCAGAGCAGAACCCCGATGTGCTACGCGCTGTATGAATACAGGATAGGAGGCCCTTGCTGGTAACTCACTACCCCTATTCACCTCACACAGAGGGGAACAGAATGACACAGAGGAATGCACAGCCAGTCTAACCAAACAGCTTTTTACCCTTTGTGTACTTTCCTCTGCCCCCTTTGAAGCCTTACTTATGCTCCAACAGCAAGCCTAGAAATTGCAGATCACACCATTCCTCTAACCAGTCCCAGAGTCAATCCCCATTTTCCTGCAACAAAACTTAAGGGTTCAGGTAAGAATGCTAGTTCAAAGATATGGTTCTCCAATTTTATAATTTAAATCTATGCACCTGGAATTATAACATATCAGGAAAAAAAAAAAAAAAAAAAAAAGGTTCCAGGAAGCTACCCTGTTTGCCAAGATGAAGATGGACCAATTTTGTTTACCCATAGATCAAAACAAGATGTTTTTCTGCTCGCAGTCAGACCTTCCATTAAACAAACCTGACCCCTGCTTCTCCCACTGTCTCACCTTGTCTGCAGCTCTCGATTTCAGGCTCCTTCAGGTGGGAGAGGCAGATAAGGATGGCCTTGCTAATATACTGCTGCTGCTCTGGCGGCGAGTGTTTCACAGCACTGCTGCTGCCCCAGGTCTCCAAGAGTTCTTGCAGCACCTGCATCAGAGAACTCAAGCTGGCCTGAAATGGATCTTTCCTACACACAAGTAATCTCCTTTTTGAAGCACATTTCAAAAACGTGCTTTCATGCAGGACACTGTATATTCCAATGGCCCTTTGGTCTTCACACTTCCCAGCAACTTTACATTCCCCACAAACGGAGCTAACTTTGTACTTCAGGGCCCTTAAATGTACTGTGTTTGACCAACTGAGAGCTCCACACTACCTCTGTTTAATACGTTGTTGAATATAATGGGTTTTTTTCATTTTAAAGTGATAAATATTATATGCAGAGCAACATGTATTACTATCAAAAACCAGCATGATATTACATGGTTTTATATGGTTTTAGTCCAATCTTGCATAGCTGCCAGTACTTCCAGATAGTTAGAATAATAGAACATGTAACTGGTGAAAAAAAAATAATTTTTTGGCAAAATGGTAGAGATTTCCAGAGATACAAATTTCCTAGAAGTTTCATCATACTGCTGACTTGGAGAGGGAAAATATCTGCATCCCCACTGAGGAAAAGGTAAATGAAAGAGATTGCGAAGCATCACCCATTTGGTACACAGAAAGCTCTAAGACAACTTCATCGCTTGCTGCCATCTGCCCTGCCACACGAACAGGGGATGACAGAGGAAGCCAAGAAGGATGGAGGACACGGGACATCTGTCGAAGTCCAAGCTTCATTAGTTTTGCTACTTGGAAGACAATTTACCAATTAAATATGAAAAACTAATGCCAGCAGTGCAGGAAGTCTTTGATTTGTACATCACTATTTACTTGTGATATGGTAGGGCTTCCCTCACTCTTGTCAACAGTAACAAAAGTGTCTTAAAGAAGTACCAAAACTGCACACCCCACAGACACAGACACACACACACAGAGTAGCATTTCTTCATCAGACACCTCACCAACAATGTCACTTAACCTTACTTTGATCAATAAGGCACGCCGAAGGCTGTCCAGGGCCAGGTAGCCAAGGAGGTTCTGCAGCACTGCAGTCTGCAACAAAAAGCACACGTCTTGCGTCAGCTGGGCACAAAGCTCTCATCCAGCAATGACAAGCGTGTATTTTTACTATGTTAAACTTTCATTCTGAGGGTCTGACAATGTTCAGAGACAGAAAAGTAAGCAAATTTTAAAAAACAACCCCCCCACACATGCACTTGCTCATGAAATACATGGAAAAACAGGACAGGAATACAGCACAGTATTTTTACCATCAAAACCAGATCAGCACAGTCCCAGGCAACCATGGAATACAGAAAGTCTAGAGAGCATCTCTCACAACATCACAGGCCACAGAACACTCCCTAACACCTTGTGACAAACTTAGGTGCACAGGGAAAAACAAACAAACCAGTCCTCATCTCATCTCTTCAATCTGATTCTTATCCCTGAGGGTGGGTCATAGCTCCTCCAATCTCTTCTTTCAGATTCTAAATTAACTAGATGTCTCCAGCTCCTGAGAACACTAAAATTACATGCAAACAAGCATTTGGTTCCAGAAAAAGAGTACAGTAATTCTGTTAATTGCCATTGACCCTGGGAGAGCACATGAATCCCATGATTTCAGAGCAAGCGTTTACCACTCCCTCTTCATTATGTTCAGCTGAGGGGATGTAAGTAAACGGCTGCACAGCTCAGGTACATGTGGAGAGGCCGAGGGCTAATTTCAGAATGAAGAGTTAAATCTTACGGAAGACAACCTGGAACTCAACTAAAAAAACCCACACTGGCACTTGGGAAAAACAGGCATTACTGCACCGCTGTTCAGCGCAGATTCCTTACCGTGTGGCAATACTGCAAGAGCAGCACCTTCTGAGTCACCACAAACTGAGCTTTCTTGTTTTTCACTACCAGGTTCCCCAGCAACCTCGACAAGGTATCTGCCCTAGCAAGACAGGTCAAGAGCAAAACATTAGGAATCCACGTAATTACTGTCATGCTGCTACTAATCATAGGAAATTCTGTGAGCAGCCACTTGCAAGAAAGCGTCTAAAACACCTCTGAACTTTACGAGTGAGTCAGTAACTGCAAAGAATGTTTTTCCCTTACTTTTTCACTGCATGTCATGATGCAGCTCCTTAAGAAATGGTGCAGGTTCCACCCGAGAGGGAAGAATCAACTACTTTACCCCTAGAGTCTCTCAGGAAATAGCACTGCAAGAAGCCGCCTACACACACACACAATCAGCACCTTTCAGAAACTGATTCTGCAAGTATTTGTGAAAAAATCCCAGCCTTTGCTCCGGATCAGGGAGGAAAGCAGAGTTCTCACCCGGGTGCGCTCTGCACAAAACCAAGGACCACTGCTTCCATCCAGCGGTCTGGCACGCATTCAACCAATCGCCAGCATATTCTTTGCCAGATGCAGTCTGACTTGGTGAGGTCTGTTAGGCGGGGTACCAAAACGCTCAGAATTTCCTCTGAAGTGGAAGAGAAAGCAGGTCAATACACCAGACGGACAGAACCGGTACTCAAGGTCAGCCTGCAAATTTCAAAATCCTTACAAGCTGAAGAAACACAATGCACAGTTTGCAGTTCTAAATTGTTCCTGTGGTAAGAACTACCCTAAGCAGCCCCAGGAACTTGCAAGTATTCCTCATCACAGTAAACAGCTAGAAAATCTTTCCTCTTCCTTCCCAGCCCTGTTAACTACTTGTGCATTCAGCGGCTTCAAAGTCCTAAGCAAAGCCAGACTGAAGGCTACTCACACGAGGGCTGTTACATACGGGCAGTGATTTACGCTGGTACTTAGGAGGCACTTTCAGACCACTGGATGAAAAGCACGACAAGAGCGTTTAATAGATGTGCCGCGAAGGGCAGGATGAGAAGGCTAATAACCTCATCAATTTTTGAGGGAACAGATCACATTCACGCAGGCTGACAAAAGCACCAGCATCTTATCAGATATGTAGTTGAGCAGCCCCGGAAAGCAGAGAACAGCGTGCACGGTCCAACTAACAAAGCCCCTAAAGTATTAACTGGTCAGTCTCCCCACTCCCTCTGTTGACTGTCATCATAGCCACCCGGCCGTACTAAATACAGTAAAACAGACTTTCCCCCTCCCCAAAATAGTATTGTAAACTACTCACTCTGTCTCCCATGGACGCATACCTTCCCCAGGACATGAGAAACGAAAGAGATTGAGCAGTCCAAGCCACCTGGGATAAAACAGGCACAAGCTTAACAAGAGCATCACCAGCATCCTCCAAACAACCTTCAGGAGGTGCACACACTTCTACAAGCACTGAAGCCTGAAAACACAGATTAACTCTTTCTCTTCAAGCATCATCTCTTCCTCCCTCCACCACATGCATTCAGGCACAAACGCACCCAGTGTTATTTACACACAGTGAGAGTCAGAAGACTGAAGTAGCTTTTCAGTCCCACTTTGACGCAACGGTAGCGAAGCCACTGGCTCATTCAGTGCTGTTTAAATCTCTCATACAATTACTTCAGCACAGGCCAAGTGACCACAGTTAAGCTTTGGCAACAGATGACACTACTTAACAGCCTTTAGTGGGATTCTAAAAGGCCTCAGCCATCTTCCTCATTCCTGGTATCTTAATGCTTTTAAGAACAAAGAACTTCAGACTGAAGGACGGAGCGTGAGGCTCTGCAAAACCCGTTACTGTATGTCAAGCCCCAGCCAAAGGGGGCCACGCACAAAACACTTCTTCAGAAAAGCCATCTCGACAGCACAGTCCTCCTGCAGTCTTACCTCTTAGAGAATCGGAGATCTTCTGCAACACCTGGATAACTGCGCCACCCAGCAGAGGATAGTAGTTCTGTGGGAAGAACACTGGCGGGTTTCTCCCCTGGAGTTTATTGCTCACATGATCAGGCAAACACACGATCTTGTTGAGCAGGGCCTCCTGCAGCTCAGCAGAGCCAGCCTGTGCCTGCTGCTGGCAGACCTCCCACATCAGGGCTGACATCCGTCCCTCCTGCAGGAACTGTGCCAGCGCCTCGGCGACCTCCCCGGGATGAAAGCTGGGGCTGCAGGAAAGCCAGGGGAGTAAGTCCCTGCCCCTTCTAACTGGTGAGGATGTGCATGCTATTGGTTTTCTGTTCTGGTCTCACCCCTACACCACCTCTGCTCGATCACACAGAAGTTTAATCAAAGTAAAATCAAAATCAAAGCCATTTTAACCTCTGTATCCCTACAGTTTCCTCTGTTCATGGCGTTTCGGGATATTCAATGGGCATAACCCGAGGCGGTTTCGTGACCTCTGCGAGAAACACCAGCGCT